TAGGTTAGATTATTTACTGTGTGGTTTCCATTGTTTTTTTAAAGGAAGTGTACAGTTAATTTACTCCCCAAACCCTGACATTTTTGTAATACAGTTTTCATATTTGCGATTTCATATGACCTCATGCATGTTAGTTCTCAAACCCCTTTTTCTATTGTAAATAATCAAAACGTTTGTCCATCTAGGTTAACTAACCTAAACAGTTGTTTCACATCAACAGTTGTATAATTATTTGCATTTATATATATATATATATATATATATTATTTAATAAAGTGTGAGAAATCCAGGTTGCCAATGTGCCGTTTTATTAGGCTCCAGATATGCAGCCAACCAAGTGTCAAATATATAAAATGAATGTCCCCACTGGATGCAACGAATGCCTCGTTTATAATGGTTTTTCATGTTTTTGAATCATGGCTCCAGCCGGACAGGGCATCGTCACAATATGGTAAGGGGCGTAACATTTCCGTCACACGCTTGAGGTATTCGGCCAATCACAACGCACTGGATAGCTGGCCAATCAGAGCACACCTCGCTTTTCAGACCGATGAACTTTGTAAAAATCGACGCGTTTCAAAAAGGCGGGGCATAGAGGAGAAACAATAATGTACAGTATGTGGAAAATAATGTGTTTTTTGAACCTTAAACCGCATAAACACATTTCATTACACCAAATACACAAAATAATGTTCTTTTTAGCAACATCATATTACCCCTTTAAGCAAAGCGGGCAGAGAAATTAATTTGCCTGTGTGACATCATGTAATGGGTGGATAATGTTTTGCTTCACTAATTACTTGGTAGTTTTTTAAGCATTTGCATATACATTTATCACTTGAAGTGCATGATGTGGCTTTGATTTTACAGAATATATTTTATAATAACATCACTCTATTTTTATGCTTGTAAAGTGTTTTACCTCCAGGTGGTGCTGCTGTTTTCAGAATCAGAATATGCTAATCAAAAAAGCAGGTCTTTTGCACGGTCCATTTCCTGAGAGATACAACTTTGTTAATAAAACAATGAATTTGCTTCCTAAGAACAGTGTTTAATGTTCATTAAAGTTGGGTTTGGCTTTTGAGTAGCCTATATATCACCATTTATGAGGCCATACTTGTGTAAACAAATACTTCTCAGTATAATTTCGCCTCTGCGCCGAAACATACACATATAGACGGTGAAAAGCCAAGATAAATGTCCTGAATGGATCCAGGGCTGAGGGGCTGGACTGTGGTCAGGTGGGCTCATCTGCTTCAGTAACCTTAATGGAAATTGGCTTTTACAGCAGAGTTCTCAGAGAGGTTTAGACAGACAAATAATACACCCAGAACCATCACCACATTTCTTAAGCTAAACAAAGAAACACAGCTTTCTGGAGCAATAATGTTCTTCAATAAATGATGCATGCCTTCATAATAACTATCTTTACAGAGACTATGGATATATCCTTAATCCTTAAGGAGGTGCGTGTTTTTAGCAACAAATATTGTCTGCTCTGCATTGTAATTAGTATTATGTAATACCATAATTACCAATTACATAATGAATGAAGGGTTCCTTAAACCATTACCCCATTAAACAGCCATTAGAGAAAAGTTTCCATCATCTCCTAAAACAAATGAGAACATTTAATGTAATCTTTAGAGATGTGGGCGGCTTTAATAACATCCTGGTTAAAGAAACAGACACTTTTCAGTTTGCAACATTGTAACTGGAAGGAAAACAACAACAACAGGAAAACATCAGTGTAGCCCAGACAATAATCAGACAAGAGATTAAAATGGCATCCTGTTCAAAACATCCTTAATTAATCACGCATTATTGATATTCAGTTGAGTCTGAGACTGATTATTAATTAAATGATGCCTAAACATGGCTTTTAAAATTCATTATCAAAATTTGATTGAAAATACAACAGAAACATCTGAGACAAAATATATATTTATTACAATGCAGCTTTTCCAGTCAAATCCAAAGAAGTTTAATGGTGACACAGAAGCTTTTCAACAACAGCAGCAATGCTAAGGTAATTAACAATATAATTTTAAGGATTTGCTGAGACACCGAAACACACAATGTAGTGTCATATGTACGATGCACACAGCAAACATATGTATGAAACACATTTTGGAATAAAGATGGAGGAGACATGTATTACATGTTCAATCTCAATGGAATCAGAAAAGAAGCACTGCATTTCACTTCACAAGATGATAATTGATGGACAGGTGTGGATTATTGTGATGTTTTTATCAGCTGTTTGGACTCTCATTCTGACGGCACCCATTCACTGCAGCACCTAGATCTTGGATGGCCTGAGGGTGAGTACATTTTCAGCAAATTTTCTTTTTTGGGTGAACTATTCCTTTAAAGCAGACTTTGCATTGCTCAGAACCGATTGTCATGGTGAGAGATGTGTACATTTTTATCAGTGGCATTAAAGCATGATGGCAGTCTCTCTGGGAGGAAGTCGCGTGGGGTCTGATCGGCGAGTGATCTGTCTTTACGGTCATCCTCTAGCGAACAGCTCACGGATAAACAAACACATCTGCACTGCGGTCGACTCCAGCTCTTATCAGTTTGAGGAGCAGAAGACAGCAATGATAAAAGTCCTGTCACACTAAAACGGCATTAGTCATCTCGGTGTGGGGTGTGAGATGCTCTAACATGGGTGATGTAAGATGAAATCTCATGCAAAGAACTCAAACTTCAGATCCCAGGCCACCACTATCTCATCTGATTGAAGAATCTCATGTGAAGTTGCCAAAAACATCCTCAGATCTAAAGGAAAGAGGGGAGATTATGAAAAATGGTTTCTGGCACAGTTTCTGGTAGTTGTGACTTTTTCCCCACAATTCTGAGTTTATATCTGCCAATTCTGACTTTTTCTCAGAATTTCAAGATATAAACTCAGAATTCTGAGGGGAAAAAGTCAGAATTGCAAAGAAGAAAAGTCTGGATTGTGAGATATAAACTCTCAGTTGCGGGGAAAAAAAGTCAGAATTGTGAGATAAAAAGTCACAATTATTTATTTATTTATTTTTCACTTTTTTATCTTTTATTCATTGGTGGGACCAAAAAAATTGAATTGCGAGATGGAAATTCAGAATTGTGAGACGTGAACTCGGAATTGCATGAAAAAAAGTCAAAATTATGAAATAAAAAGTTGTAATTACTGTAAATTATGTGGCGTAAACAGGCTTCCATCGTAGATACTAGATTAAAACTTAAGTTTGAAAACTTAAACTGTATAATTTATATTATCTGCCTAAAACAAATTATAGTCTATAAGTGCATAAATGTTGTAGAAATGGTATAAATTATATTTTCTTGCATGCAAACATTTGACACATAGGCTGTGTCTGAAATTGCATACATTCTAAGTAGGCACTTCTTTTGTAATTACTTATAAAGTATGAATGTGTGTAGTATCAGTGTAATCCAGATGTACTGCATTCATCATGTTGTCATTGTCATGTGACCTACCAGTGTCAGTTGTGTCGCTTCACTGCCATTCACAGATTCTCTGCCGTGGCCTCATGGGAAAGTGTCAAAGTGTCCATTTGATGCGCAATTCAGAATCTTGTCGGAAATAGTAGGTCATCTGGGTACTTTTTGCCTATTATTTTATGAATACTGTGAATTTGGACGTACTACTCTCTTTTCACATACTGTTTTGGTCTTCTGTATTGTAGGGAAGCATGTGATTTTGGATAGAGCCATATAGTAGCAGACTATATGAAGTTGTTTTGCTAGCATTCGTGAGGCATCAGAAACACATCAGTGGCCCTCAGCATGTATCAGGTGGCATGATGCAGGTACCTGTCCGCCTCCAGACTCTGAGAAGGTTCCAGCTCATTCATCATCGTCATCATCTCAGTGTCGGATGAGCTCTGATGTGCACATGGAGCTGCTCTCTCATCAGTCTGAGTGTGGATGTCGTCTGCACTACTACAAAGATGACCATGATGACAGATCATTTTGCATCCTTTTACATAATATTGTCATTGTTTACATAATATTGCATTTTGCATGATAGATGATGTCTAATTAATTAGCAGTGATATCAAAGGCAAGCATCAATATTGTTATTGCTCATATTTATGGTTAAGGATTATATTTAAGGTCAAGAAACCTTTCAGCACTTTTAGCCTTATTGTATAAGAGTTGCATTCTATTCTATGCTCAGATTTAGAAATTGAGACCTATTTTTAAATTTGATTTCAGTGCAAATTAGTTTAAGTTTAGTTTTAGATATTACATTTTTAGAAAAGAAAAAAAAAACATAAACCTATGCTGAAAAATGACTTGTATGATGGCCAATCAGTGGCATGACAGACAACGAATAAAAAAAGTTGATCTATAATAAGGCGAATTAAGGAAAAGTAAGCAATAAAATTAAGTTGTTAAATGCAAATGCTTTTAGTTAATTTAAATAAAATAAACTTTCACTGAAATAAAATAGAAAAAAAAACATTTTAAACAAATTTATAAATTTCTCATTTTCATTTAGTTTAACTTGATGTAATAAAAACAAACTAAAATGAAATAAAAATGAATAAACACTATAGACATATTTAAAAGGAAAAAAAAAACAAAATTACTGAAACGTCAAACAAAATGAAAACAGAAAATATAAAAATATAAACAATCAAAATATGAAAAAAATAAAACTCGAATAGTATCTCAGTTATACTAGTAGTTTACTAGTAAAGTAACTTT